GAAATGAATGTAGTCCCTAACATTGACAACATTTGAATAGCTACCCATATGTAGAACATCACTAAGTGAATAAGCATCCGCTTTGCCAACCGTAAACCAAGCTGGCGTACCATACTTCACCGTAGTCCAGGGCCTTTTCGAACAAAGCCCAGTTACCAGTCCTCCGGCTCATCTCTACCTAACAGCTTCTGCAATCGCTTTTTACTTAAATCGTCTTAGATCGCAACGCAATTTCCTGCCAAGACTCGATGCAGAGATGAACTTCGTTAACTTCTCAGATACCGGTTTTGCAACTACCAGATTAATAGTTAGTTAGTTAGAGTTAGGGCACAGGATGCCGAAAAATTAAATTTTCGATACGACACAACATCATCGGTGGTTGCACATCATAAACAGATGTCAATAAATATCTAGAAAAATTATTTGTTGGACCATCCAATAAGATCCTCATACTACCTATCCACAACGTGCAAGCAAGAACCAGATCCAAGCTCTGGTCTGCTATTACGCTAGCCCATTCTGAGTACAGTCGGCATCCCATTACGACATGCATGACCGAATTTGCCAGGCTCTATTTGTACATGATACATGTTAAAAGAGGCCCATGGTAGTATTGATTTGGATTCGAACTATAAATAGCACGATCAACTTGCTATCTGGAATTCAGTGTGCAAGTAATAAAAGTTTCCTATGCCTACGAGGGGCTTTTTACCGTAAATAAACCGGTTTTAAACAGGAAGTGAAGCTATGGTATTTTCGAACTGTCTGAAAGAAGAGTAAGATGCGGTTTGGTAGTGAAAACTGTACAAACGACGAGGACCCTTATTCTGATCAATGTACATGTCACGTCATGTCAGAGAACGTAAAAAGGACCAGAAAACGTTTTCTATCGACATAAACAGCCTATGAAAACGTGAAGACCGCAGTGGGGAATCAATCAGCAAACGGAACACCGGTATGCCTAGTTAATAATGGATACCAAGTTGCATACACCAAACCGAAGTACGGTCGACATACTCACATGATGAGCGATTTCTTTCTTCCATTTCCTTTCTTCCACGAAGTCAGCCGACAGCCATAAAACTTCATCCATTAGATACTCGTGGTGAGAACGACCCTGATTGGGTTCCATTACTTTTGGTAGCCGACTCGAAGACCAAAGTCCCTGATGTTTAAGATAAGCGATCTTCTGGAGGACGGAAGCTTCTAGGCGAGCCCCCTGGGCAATTTCCCGTCGGGAACTATCACCTGCCACCTGAGGAACAATAGGTGTGTCCTCTGAGACACATGGGGATTCGTCGAGCTCCGTCTTCTTAGGAGGCAGATAAATGCAATGCTCAGCGGAACAGTTCCGTTTGGGAAAAGGGTACAATCCGGAAAGAGGTGGCAGTGAGGATGTAAGTAACTGTACGGATCCAGTAGCGAGGTAGCGCTGCATACGTGAGAAAACAGCATCTTCATCGAGGGAATCTAATTCTCGAGTTAAAACTTCCAATTCACACTTTTCGCTAGACGCGGAACAAATGCGCCCGACCTCCTCCACACTGAAACTAAACTTTTCAACAGGAGATTCGGGTCTTAGCTTTTTGGTTGGTGGCGGAAACTCATCTTCCGGATTGCATGGCATTTCTGTATAAAACGCGCCGTCCTCTGCTCTAAGTAATTTCCAGGGATGAAACAACCGAACTCATCATTGGTGATGCCAACCGAGACGGCTGACGCTTTAGTGATAAAAGGCAAACTTTTGTTCCAGGTATCCACCACTAAGTAAATTCCTTCGTGATATATTTAGATACCATCTGCAGCGGGTGTAATTAAGAATAGGTCCGGTTTTTTAATTAGCGTGATTGATCGTTTGAGATCGCTGCCATAAAACGTTCACCACACCACTTAAACACCAAATCCGGGATTCCTCGCAGGAGGGTCTTATTTTGCGTTTAAAATGCCACTTACCTCTGTTCATTTGAAGATTATTCTGTTCTCTTGCCAATTGCCATGAGCTATGAAACTCAGACCGGCTCGATAGCGAACCGTAGGATTCCATAGATTTGGTGACCCTGCCCGGATACCTCGTAATCCTAAAAGCGACTCTGAGGAACAGGATAACTCTGAACACTCCACATTACCCTTCGGCACTCTGGTTCAACGTTTCCTTTCCCTTCACCCATGCTATCCACGCGGGAACTGCAGGATAGCAACCAACTGGCTTGAATTTCTAGCATAAAACCCGGTTCAGGCGATGATTCTTTATTTACTGGAGCCTACTGATATTACTGATTGAACATTCCATCTCGTTTGCACATCTGCCCGTCATCCAGAAACCCGAAGAGAAGGATCAAGAACTTCTCCTGCAGTCGAAGCACAGTGGGATCACATCAGAGCTCACAATTGCAATTAACTGGACGCATTGGCATCAGCCGCAAGTCCTGTGTATCCGACCCAACTCCATCCGTTTCTTCCCTCGCAAAGTTTCACATGGATGATGAATTCCATCGTTAGGCTCAGAAAGCCCAAACTACATCGATCTTCTCCCACCACTGATCGTATATTTGTGCTCCTGTCCCTCACAAAAGGTGAGGCCAATGACATCGTCCGAGACGAGGGTCTGTAATGACTATGATTGTATGAAGAAAAGGAACAATCCACGAGGATATCTTCCATTCATATTTTCTTCACAATCAGTTATGATTCCAGCTGTGATATTTTTTCTTTCTTACTTCACTGCTTGTTTTACTGAGCACGGTTTTCCGCTCCAGTGTATTTATAGGCTGGGTCCTGTTCAAACCCACACAACACGTGTGACGCGGTTTCGTTTTGCTACTGCATTTTTCGCCTGCATTGTTTAGCCGTCACATCGGCACGTATTCTGTATTATTTGGTACTACGATACGCCAATAAACGTCAACGACCACCACGAGTGTTTTTGTCTACCTCGGGCAACGGGACACTAGGATGGCGCGCGCGATTTAAGATCTGTAAGACGACTTATCGGCCGGCCGTAAACGTTGATTAGCTTCGTTGGTGAGCCCGAGACGTCTACTTGGTGAGTCAAATCCACTTTAGTTTACACTACTTTTCTCCCGGTTCATTTTCACTTGCATGATATTCTTTTCTATCGCATTTGTACGATGGCCGAGGAGCAAAAATCAATAGACGACAGGGAACTGGACCTTTTGGTTATAAGGTTTAGGCCGGTAGCTTTCATCTCCCCATGAACCCGAGGTGTGGTTCGCTGCGTTAGAAACGCAGTATATGGCCCGTAACATGCGCATCCAGTGCTCCAAATATGTTTACGCTGTCGAGGCGATCCCAGGCGACCGAATGTCCGCCAATAAAGATATCATCATTAGGTCACCAGAGGACAACACGTATGGCGTTCTGAAGGCTGCAATCTTTCAGTTCTACCCCCCTCTAATGAGGAACGGTTGCATCAGTTGCTAACTCATCACCCAATTGGTGACACTACGCCAAGCAGGCATCTGGCACATCTGCGCACGTTAGCCGGCTCAGCAACCGCCCACTCTGACATTATCAGAGAGCTGTGGCTCGAGTCATGTCAGGTCAGGTCGGGTACATAGGACTTGCAATTGTTGCCACTGAGTTCAGTTAATTGTACTTCTGAACTCTGATGCGATCCCACTGTGCTTCGACTGCAGGAAAAGTTCTTGATCCGGGTTGATTCGGGTTTCTGGATGACGGTCAGACTGAGAGGCGAACGAGATGGAATGTTCAATCGGTAATATCAGTAGGCTCCAGTCAATAAAGGTTCATCGCCTGAACCGGTTTCTATGTGAAAACTTCAAGCCAGGCACGCTCTACCGTCGGGTAAGTGTAAGGTGTAAATGAAGACTTGGAGAACGCTAGAGTTTTACTTCATAAATGATAGAAAATAAGAGTTATTTGTCATAAAGGAAAGAGTGATAGGAAAAAGGAAAACTAAACAAGATATAAAACTAACTTTCACATGGGGCTCTCAGGTCGACCTACGGTCTACTTTGCGCTGATCCCTCCAAATCGGGAAATACTGTCAGCCAGCAGTCAGCCAGTTCACTACACGGTTTGTTCGAAACTGTGCTCGGACATCCAGCCTGGAACGCTCTTTTGCCAATTTCAAAGAGTGCCCACGTAATGCCACATGGTCATTGGCAGTGAACAATGGAGTACCCGTATTAGTTTTGCCTTTTATCCTCTTAAAGGCTTCAATCAGATCACCCTAATGCGTCTCCCCTTCTGGGGAATAGGTTCAGCAAAGGCAGACGAGTTCGGTAGTCTTGCGCCCTGAGGTGGGGGAAGCACCTCGTGAACCTGCGTTGAACCGTCTCAAGGACCTTCCTGTCAAGCTCCAGGTTTGGTAACCACGCTTGGACGCAGTATTCTAAGTGTAATCTCACAAACACTTTATAAATGGGTAACAACACCTCTGGACCCCTCGAGACAACAGTTCTCAACAGTTGATACAGAGTGTTGTTTGCCTTACGTGCCGCCAGTAGGCATAACTTCTCTGATTTGAAATTACTGGTGACCTGAATTCCCAGGTCCCTCACTTCGTCACGCCTCTAGAGTTCCACTGGGTTATCAGTGTTAATCCCCCGTACCGGGCCTGTGCTTTCATTTTTTATAAGCTGTCTACACTTGGCCACATTGCGCGGTAGCTCCCAGTCTTCAGTCCATCGTATGAGGGTATCCAAATCCCTCTGTATGGACTGGTCTGAGGGTGAACCCACCAGTTTCAGGTCGTCAGCGAACATGAATACTGGATTCTCTAACCTCTCCGGCAAGTCAGTCACATAGGCTAGGAATAGGAGAGAGCCTAAAACTGACCTCTGTGGGACTCAACTTGCTATCCTGCCTTCCATCGGTTTGGACCCTTCTTTATTAACATGGAAAGAACTTCCTCTCAGGAAGTCTTCCGTCCATTCAAGCAGTTTCAGTTGAATTTTGAAGGTCCTAAATTTCAGGAGCAGTAGCCTGTGGTTTACAGAGTCAAAGGCCTTTTGGAAGTCCAAGTAGCAGACCTCCACCCTCTCCCGTCTATCCAGCCTGTCGGTGATTCCATTTAAAAACACCAGTAGATTCGTGAGACATGATCTCCTCCTCACAAACCCGTGCTGGCTAGCTGATAGCAGATGGTGGTGCGCAACATGAGTCACCACCTTTTCCCTCAGTAGCCTTTCCATTATATTTAGTGTTACCGAGGTTAGGCTAAACGGTCGGTAATTTGCTGCCTGATTTTTGTCCCCTTCTTTGTGTTTGGGGACAACATTCGCCACCTTCCCGTCTCCTGGCAGCCGCTTTTCTTGGAGGGATTTGTTAAACAGTTTCAATAACGATGTTGAAAGCACCGCAACCATTGGTTTCAGGAGAGCCGCATGGATATCATCGGGTCCCGCTGCCTTCGTGCTCTACAGCGCTTGGAGTTGGGCCCTTACCTCCTCTTCGGTGACGAC